CCATGCCCGTAGACACCCAGCAGGTGACAATTCAGTTTTTATCACGGCACCAGAAAGCAAGCGAGAGTCCAATAGATTATCTTCATTCCCTCCAGCAAGTCGCAGTACAAGCATTCCCTCGTTCAGATATGATGGGACGAGAGGAATTAATACTCTCACGTTTTGTCGAAGGCCTGTTGCCCGGACCACTTAAAGAACACTTTCTTCGAAATCCACCACCTGATACGTCTGACGGAAAAACAACAACATTACGCTTCCTGGCCGCTGACAAACTAGTGAATGTATCCAATGCACATTCATCATCAGTAACGACTGTGGAACGAGCTACAAAATCTAGTGGCCTGGACAGCTGCTAGACTACAATGGCTGTGTCCGACCTTCCCGGCCGAGGTGCTATCCGCGGACAGTCAAATTCGAGGTGGAATAAACAACCAGCATGGGGAAACTACAATGGGTGTCAAGCCGACTGTATATATTGCAAAAGGTTTGGCAGGAACGCCAGAAGATGCAATCACAACCGCCCCCGTAAACCAGGTAAGCGGCGTTTTGGTTATTTATCGTCCTATGTTAATCATGTCAATCCAACTACGTTTAAAGGTAGAGTACAAGACATGGAGCTAGACATACTTCTAGACACAGGAGCTTCAGCATCCCTCATTAAGGAAGACTTCTTGCAGAGACTTAACCACAGCACTCAGCGTAAACAGTGCTCCTCTACATTATTCACGGCGAGTGGAGACCCCTTGACTGCGTGTTCTAAGATAGGGTTAGAGTTAACAATAAACATGAACTCTTTTCGACATGAATTCCTGGTTTGCCCCACACTGACCTGGAACATGATGCTCGTCGTTGACTTCATGTTAAGATATCAGGTCTCTATAGACATGAATAAGTCGTAAGCTAAAATTGGCGGGGCTGTCGTGCAACTACAACGCCAGGAAATGCCAACCGAAACCGTAGCCCAGGTGGGAATTGCAGAGATTGTACGTCAGGTACAATATAACCAAGTAATAAGCGAAAAGGAACGTCGAGCAACCACTGACGTACTCCAACACTTTAGTTGTCTTTTCGGAGAATATCTCCGGAAATCGGACGACCACTGTACAACATTCCATTCTCACAAGTGACCATATGCCATTACGCTAACCACCTCGCAGAGTACCAGTACATTATCAGCATCAGTCGGAATCGATGATAAAAGATATGCTAGAAAAAAAGATTATTGTACCATCTTCATCACCCTGGGCATCGCCTATTGTTTTAGTGAAAAAGAAAGACTCCCCGTTATGACTGTGTGTATACTACCGACGTCTTAATGCTACAACCGAACGCGATTCTTTTCCACTTCCACGGATTGATGCTACATTAGATGCTATGAAAGGCGCTCGCTGGTTCTCGACTCTAGACTTAGCATCAGGGTATTGGCAAGTGGAGGTTCGACCTCAAGATAGAAAAAAACCGCGTTCATAGTACCCAATGGTCTATATGAATTTCAAGTGATGCCCTTCGGGCTAACTAATGCCCCAGCCACCTTCCAACGATTGATGCAGACAGTTCTATATGGTCTCGTACCACACAAGTGCTTAATTTACCTTGATGATATTATTGTGTATGGCAGCACGCCGGAACAGCATAATGCCAATTTAAGGGCAGTTCTACAACGTATTAAGCAGCACAACTTAAAAGTAAAACCATCTAAATGTCGACTCTTACAAAAAGAAGTACTCTTTTTGGGGCATCGCATTACGGAAGATGGAGTAGCAACGGATAAGGCAAAAACGAGCGCCATTATTAACTGGCCACAACCGAAATCTGCCGAGGATGTTCGCAGCTTCCTGGGGCTCGCTTCTTATTACAGACGTTTCGTACGCGATTTCGCATCCCTGGCAGCACCTTTACATCGCCTGACGCATAAAGGACGAAAATTTTTGTGGACCACAGAATGCCAACACGCATTTAACACTTTGAAGTCATTCTTGCTGCTCCGCTCATACTGGCTTTTCCGGACACTTCGGCTAAAGCGGGTGAGTTCATACTTGATACAGACGCTAGCTCATCAGCTATTGGAGCAGTCCTGTCTCAAATAGCACAAGACGGAAAGGAACGGGTCATAGCGTACGCTAGTCGGCGGTAGATAAAAGAGAGACACGGTATTCTACGACGCGCCGAGAGATGCTGGCTTTGGTAAAATTTTTGCAACATTTTCGTCACTATCTCCTAGGACGACCCTTTCGTGTACGCACAGACCACCGTGCACTACAGTGGCTTCGTTCATTCCGTGAACCAGAAGGTCAGGTAGCGTGCTGGCAGGAGAGGTTGCAGGAATTTGATTTTACTTGCGAATACCGACCCGGAAGCCGACACACAAACGCCGATTCCCTATCTCGTATACCCTATTCGCCTGATACCATTAATGCCGTCCTTAGCACAGCCCCCAAGATCAACTGGCCGTCTCTTCAAGCAGTAGACCCTGATCTGCGATTTATTTATCAGAGGCAACTACATGGCAATAATAAACCATCTATGACAGAGTTGAAGGATCATTCCTTGGCGACGCGCCGTCTTTGTGCCAAGTGGAGCAGTCTAAGATTGTATGAAGACACGTCATTTATAGTCAGCGAATCAAAACAGCCACTATTGATAGTACCACGTGTACAAGTTCAGAATATTATGGAGCAGGTACACCGAGAACTGGGGCACTCAGGAAAACGGAAGACTGAACATGCTATCTGCCAGAGGTTTTGGTGGCCATCCATCCATGAAGACGTTGCCGAATTCTGCAAAAATTGTATCACGTGCTATGCTATCAAGTCACCCGACAAATACCTCGTGCACCCTTAGTTCCAATGACGACAGAAGGTCCGCATCAGCGAGTTGGCATCGATATTATGGGGCCACTCACAACATCAAGGAACGGAAACCGTTATATACTAGTTATGGTAGACTATTTCAGCAAATGGTGTGAAGCTGTTCCTATACCACAACAAGATGCCCTCACAGTCACTTGTGCTTTCATTGATCATTGGGTATCCCGGTACGGCGCTCCCCTTTCACTCCATTCTGACCAAGGTTCAGCTTTTGAAAGTCATCTCGTTGCCCAGGTATGTCGATTATTGGGAATCCGAAAAACACACTATCGCATACCATCCAGAAGGTAACAGCTTGGTGGAAAGAACCAACAGGACTATCAAAACTCTCCTACAATCGTCTATCAATAAGTCGTCGACGGAATGTTGGGATGACGTGATACCACAATGTCTGTTAGCTTACTGCGCATCAGTGCACGGATCTACAGGATTTTCGCCGAGACCCTACTTTTTGGACATGAATTGCGCCTACCCGTTGAGCTGCAAATACCGTTGTTACCATGCGAGGCCCAAGATCATGTAGTATACATCCGTAACCTTCACAACCGCCTAGCCGACGCCTATAGCTTAGTGAAGATCAACTTACAAAATGCCAGCAGCACCAAAAGGATATGTACGATCGCAAGGCAAACGGACCTGTGTATAAACCCGGAGATCGTCTGTGGCTGCACCGCCCTTTAGCTCCACCGGGGACATGCAGCAAGTTCCATCACCCTTGGCAAGGACCTTATGAAGTTGTGTTTACTCGGTCTCCCACTACATTCGTCCTACTTAACCTTCAACAGCCTCAAGACGATGTTATGATGGCACACTACAACCAATTGAAGCCAGACAGAACAACCGTGCACTCAGATACCCAGTTCGTCAATCCACTGACTGCCGTCAGCCACTCTGAAGTGCCACCAGAAGGAGAGGTAGCATACCCAAGTCCAGCAACAGGTACTGAGGACAGTGCCTCATGGAGAGAGGATGTAATGTGGCAGTATCAAAAACCATTATGTGTGACTTTACCAATGCAAGTTTGTTTTCCTTGTTTCAGGGCAACAGATAGTGAACGTACTAGAAGAAGAACAAGCCTTACGCAAGTTAAACCTGCGGGATAATGAGTAAAACCATTTTGTAATAGACTTCCCTTTTTTGTACTTAGACCGCGTAATTCAATTTTAAAATATATCTCTGTTGTGCTCGTACGCCGTGTTCTCACTTGAGTAGCATCTGTCGGTCCTGACTGTTGTGTTGTGTTTCAGATCGCTCCTGCCTGCAGATAAACGTTAATAGTACGTGCTACAGCACTAAGCACAGGAGTTGGCGCCGTAACCTTGAGATCCCTCAGACGTCTCTGATTGTCTCGTCCATATAACAGAGTCTCGCCAACAGAATAGTAAACTACGGTTTTCAGTAATGACACAAAGTAATATGGGTGGGTTATAGTTATTCCCACAATTCAAAGTGATGTGATAAATTAATTTCGTCTAAGAATTATCATTGAGCAGTCGTGATTCGATGTGTAATGTCCAATATCATTGTGACGAACCAGTTCCAGTCAACTTTATAGTTATTTGTTGATTTGTATATCATACGCTTTGATTATGTGCACCAGTGCAGTCGAGGTCTAGAAAAGCACTCACTGGACTATGATATTAAACATTATACATTGATTCGCGACTGCTTATCGATAAATCTGAGACGAAATTAATTTATCACACCACTTCGAATTGTGGGAATAACCATAACTCATATTACTTTGTGTCAATAATGCAAACCGTATTTTGTTTACTATTTTGTTTTATGCTAGCAATTCACCAGATAGTGTGATGGCAAATGTTCGGTTGGGGATACAGTTTGAAATTGGACATTTTAGTACAGGACAACTTTAGGGGCTTCTAATTCGTGATTCTTTACATTACTAAAAGGTGTTATTTCATTGTGATAGCTTTTGTCTCTGAATCCCACTAGCATGAACTCATTTGGAAAGCTCGAGTAATTTACCATAGTAACATCTCGCTAGTATATGTAGATTATGAACTTATTTTAATGTTTCCTATATCTTGATTGCGTAAACCATCATTTGTTTGCTTAGACTGTTGTTATCAGTAGGAAGGTTATCTGTTGCGCTTGTTATTCACGATAAAATGCAACCATCGTTCACAAACACTGTTTGTATGCAATTTTACTGAAAATTAGGATGAAATACAGTTCCTTAGTCTTTCACTTTGTTCCTGCTGTCTGTGATAAGACTCAGAAATGTGTTTTATTGGCAAGATATCTTGTTTCAGACCTAACACAAGTATCGACGCTTCAAGCCATAATCCAACTTACTTAGTGTCTCATGTTTATTTTACACACTGAACTAACACAACTTTAAAGCTCTTTGGAACACAATCGAAGCTAACTACCTGAAGTATCTTATGTGTGGAGTTGTTCATTAAGTCATTTATAGAGTTAGTTAATCGGAAGTGCACGTATAATCTCTTCAAAATGGTCGTTTTGACTTTTTTACTCCAATTGATGGTGAATCATGGTGATGTACATACTTGTATGTCGCATGTTGATCTTTATATATATTCCTACAACTTAACATGTTAATACGACGGTATACCAGAAGTAAAAATACGAGATTTTAGTTGAAGCTATATATTTCATACATGCTTATTCACAGATAAACTGTGATTGTCGACTAAATAAACGAAGGTTTTGGGTTGGTGACATACCAGTTCGTGAATTAATTCTGTGCCTTACCTTATTTAGGTAAAACAGAGTAATTTAGGCTAGTAAGTGGACAACAAACAGAGTAGTTGGTGAATAGGCATGCACACAAACAAAGAGCATATAGTAACATAAATATGGTCAACAAGGGCATGGATAACAAAAATAAGTATATAGAAAGTTACGATTACTTGTAAGATATATCGAATTATTAGGAATGTAAGACGGACTCAATAGTCACATGGTGTCTGATTTATCAATATTTGTCCAACAATTAGAATACATCCATATAGGAGATATGAAGAGTCACTATATCTTTACATTGTGCTCCACCTCGAAAGTCTTCGTCCTGGAGTTGTTCCAGAAGTGATTAACTTAAAAATAGCCACAAAATTCTCCCGACCCAGAACCTTGGACTAAAAATACACTTGGTGAGTTTGCAGACCTACGTCTGATCAGTATCTATAAATCATCCTACAAGAACTGAACGTATTCCAAACTTATTGGTCTTCGTTTCATGAATAAGTCCTCTATGTTCATGGCAGGCTGTAGGAAAATCTAAGATATGTTGAGCGTTGGTTAATTAATATGAGGTAGATGACTTGCTGAACAGGTCAGAACTCGTGGATGGAACTAGCTCATGGAGTTAACTAACTAACCCATGGAGTTAGAGTTTTTGTAAAGTTGGGGTGTAATTACAATCAAATTTAGGATAAGCAAAATACAAAGTTTGAAACTAAGAACTGAACTTTTGACCTCCTTAACCATCACTTACATTTCAAAGTACTAACTAAAGCAGTTTGACTTTATTGTAAGTGGTGTTGTGACCTGATAAACGTCTGAGTAGTTGTCATTGGAGTCAGAGCTGTTGCTTTATTACGGATTTGTAGTAGTTGTCATCGATGATTAACCAGTGAAACTTGGTAAAAAAAAATAGCATTTCATATACTTGATCGAATTCCATTTTGTAGGAACCACTGAAGCTATCTGAATACCCAAACCAAAGCACGCTAATTCGCATTTGAACCCATAGACCGCAAATTGACAGAAGGTTGCTTTGACTAGTAAGCCACTTTCCCACTCGGAATAACTAAATACTCACTGAACACAATCTTTTCTCGTAAATACTTGCAAGTTAAGAAGTGGTTTACCTTTGAATTGACTTTGTATTTAAACTAGTTATACCAGTAAAATCAATTTAGATAAATACTATTGAAATCAAAGAAGGGCAGTTAATGTATTAGCACTTATAATAAGAAAGACCAAACATTAATATTATAGTTCGACAGAATGTGATGAAAAGATACATATGAAGAAATACTGGTAGTCAATACTTGGATGGAGATAAAAAAATGAATGTATCTGTGCCACTGTGACCAATCCTGAGTTGCGCGACCCAACGTCTTCGGCTACTGATCGCGGTTGTCAAGCAGACCCTGACCAAGTAGTCTACGCCTACCAAAGTAACTCGGATCAGTAGACAATGAATTGTTGGGTTTCGCAGTGTTTTTTTTCGTTAGCATTCTACTTTTGCACATTTAGTTAGTTTGTTTGCTGTATATTCGGTAATGTTGTTCAGTGAACTTACTGTTTGTGACGATTTACATTTTTGACAAACTATTTGCTATCTTTGCTTTTTATAGTATGCCTATCCACAATATTTCTTACCTGTTCCACAAAATTTGAGAAATGCTTGGAGGTCAAGTATTATGAGAACCTCACAGCCTACGCATATGCTCTAGTTTCAAAGATAAAATTTCAAACAGATTAATATAGATGGGACTGATAAGTATTACGCACGCCATTTGATTGGCAGACGGACATCTCTATCATATTAAAAATGGGCCAAGTTGACAAAATCCTAACAAGGTTTCTTAATAAGTGACGAGATTTCTCCAGATAACTACCTCTCAAGGCTGATGGTATTTTTAAATTAGATAGGTGTTGAAATTCCTCAGTCCATATGATCGGTGTTCTGAAACGAAATTCTACATAAAGAGGGAGAGAAACAAGTCCCATGCATGCATCGGAATACTCTGCATTTTGCCAGTGTTTTCACCAAATAGCACGATGCTACTTGCATACTCTGTGTCTGTTATTAATTTTGAGGAAGTATATTATTCCTTGCAATGCTATATGACGAAAACGTCTTTTAGCACTAGTACATCTATTGCAATATTAAGTAGAGATATAGTTATGAAGAAAAGCTAATGTACATCGCTTGAAGCTAACAGTGTAGATTGGAATTCACTTTGAGTTCATACTCATCTGGTAGTAGTTGATGAGAGACTACACAAGGTTTATTTATTCCTTTGGCACAAATTTTAACAGCACATATTGTTGTGAAGTCTGTTTGGTCAACACAGTTGAGTGATAGCTAAAGTTCGGTAGTTAAAAAATTATTTAGTGCATAACGCTTATGTTTTTGTTGTTCTACCTTAGTTCTATGCATGGCCATTCTAGTTTTCAGGCCCTTTGATTTTATTCCGTTTTAGAGTGTTATGAATATTATACTATGCATATTGGTGTTAATAATTCAGACTATTTACCATCATTGATAGTGCAGAAATCACCTGTTAACTTTTATATTGGACTTTGCCTTGCCTTATTGTCGACCTTATTCATTGGAACTAGTTTTATATTTAAAAAGCTTGCACTTCGTCGAAGTTCCAGGAATGGATTTAGCGCTGGTGAGTAAACCCATTCATTTTGATCTCATTTATGTATAAATTTAACGATATCTGTAAGGTGCATGTAGTTTCACGTAACATATGTTTCATGTGAAATTCAAGTTGGTGTTGTAGGTGGAAACTCAGGTTGAGTTGTTCATTCTAGTATTAACTTTTGAATGATATTATAGTCTGTTAATAGATTCATTAAACACTTCAGCACTATGATATTGAAGTAGCAAAGTTATGTTACATCCAGTTCCAGAGAACTCGGACAAACTGTTTTATTCTTATAATGAGTCAGAATCGTATATCGGCGATCAGTTACTTATTGGTTTAAGCAATCGGTTTTCAGTCATTAAGTCAGATGTTTGGGTCATTATATGTCATTTTTTTATATGGTTAATCAAATAGTCTCTCTAGCTGTCAAATACCCCAGGTTGGCTCGAGTATGGATATAAAAAAGTGTACTTTGTAAATGAGTTGGTTGTAGCTTACTAATTATGACTGTATATTTACTTCGTTGGTTAGGATATGCGTTGTGGATCATGGACTACTGCTTTTTTGACATGTTATAATGGTTAACGAAGGAAGGAAGGAAGTGTGCATATTCTTTATCCACTTGAACCTAGTATTGAAGCTACCAACTGTTAATAGGTAATCCTATGTGAATAAAGCCTAAAGATAACAGTTGATTGTTTCGCTATCTACTAAAAAATGTACTAATATATATATGTATGTCTTGTACGTTTGTTAAGTAAGCTATATTATTATAGTCAAAATGAATAGTTAGTGAATAATCGGTAAATTTACCACATGATAGTCATAAGATATGATCAGCGAGTTTAGATGACATGATTTTAAACCCGTTTTGATCGGGAAGTTGCATCCAGTTATCGTATTCTGCTCATGAGTGAGTATTAGTATTACTTCATACTTCACTGTTATCGATCTCAATAGTTCATTTTGAACTAGACTGCTTCTGGTTTCTTCTCCACTGGAAGTTTTACTATTATTATCTGACTATATTGGTCGTCATTTTGATAATTCCCTCTCATAATTTAAGCATGTGGAATGTGAAATATCCACAAAACCCCTTTTGATTATAATCATCATATACTCACTAGTGATTGGTTTCAAGAGGTATTTCCTGGAGTTCTAATGAGAAGCAGTGACTAGTGGAGTTTAACCGGGTTTGTTGTGAGATAGTAACTCACTGAAGACAATGGTGGATGTGTTGCTCAATTTGGTGAATTAGTTGAAGTTAGAAATTAACACCGTTGTATATCGGCAAGCTCAGTGGTGTAGTGGTTAAGCGCTCACTCGCGAGACTGATAGGTCTTGGATTGGAATCTCGCGATGCGGGATCGTGAATGCACATCTCTGGGGAGTCACACAATAGGACGAAATGCCCGTCCGATAATTCCAGGTTCTCCATGGTAACCTAGTTTCAATTGATTCATGCTCTCAACTATTAAAATTCTAAAATAAAAACGTTTGAGAAAAAAACTACTTTTCAACTTATTATTATTGAGTCAATTGATCACAATTGACTTAAATGATTTACTCGAATTCAAGTGACCTTAATTAACATCAAGAATTAATCTCTTTATTTTCAATAAATTTTTCTATAATAAATTAGTTTGATTAATTTGTTTGATTCATTTAAAATTCCTGAATATTCATAAATCTATGCATTTGCTTATATTCACATTTAATGGATTGTAACTTAAATATCAAATATGGATTTTATGTAGTCGGCTTTTAATTACAATGTAAACACCTGGGTGGAATGTGAGGTTTGGATCTGGAACTCGTACTAACTGAAAGTCGAATATTTTAGTCAATAAAATCCAAACCTTCAATTTGTACGGTACTGTATTCCATATGATAATCAATGAATTATATCCATACATAAAAGGAAATGTATGAACCGTCGTACATATGTGTATGTGTATGACAACAATAAAGAGGGTCTACTTAACCAGCTTTAAACCGAATTTTTGTACGTCTGTGATGGCTAGTAAACCTACCTGTCTGGATGGCAAGGAAATTAAACCAGTTGATGAGATTACAAAACTGAACCTGCTTAGCTGATACATACTGTCATATTATAATTGGATTAAAATTAGCCTATTTCAGTCCATGATGAGTACTTCAGCAATCTCTACAATCCTCTTTTCAATAAATATTTATGTGGAACTAATGTATAAATGCTTTTTTTATTATTATTTATTTTACCAGGTGATGGATCCCTAAGTTATTTGTGTGAATGGATGTGGTGGATGGGTTTTATTCTAATGGGTATTGGTGAATTTGCCAATTTTGTAGCGTATACATTCGCTCCAGCTATACTAGTGACACCGTTAGGTGCATTATCTGTACTTGTTAGTGCACTGTTAAGTGTACGCTTTTTAAATGAACATTTAAATTGTATTGGTGGATTTGGATGCGGTATATGTATATTAGGTTCAACTTTAATTGTATTACATGCACCAAAAGAACAAAATTTAACATCACTACATGAAATGTGGTTAAGAGCTACCGATCCATGTAAGTTTTATATTCTATATTGTACATTCACAACATTTTATCTCTAATATGACTATTCGTGTTCCTTTTTACATAATCAATGAAGCATAAGAATTCCCAATAAGAATAACAACATTCTAAATTGATGTGGCCACAAAATACTTATTATTTGGATCTCTATAACTTTGACATGATTGTACAAGTAAAATATCAAATCACAATCAATATTACAAATGATAAGTCTCAATGGGTGCATAATTAAGATCTTTTAAATATAAAACAGAGTCAACTATTGAGTGGTTTACTGGGGTGTTACTTACAGATCGATGAAAGACAATCACATCAATTAATGAGTTAGACAAAAAAGAAAGAACTTACAATTAAAATTATTCTTTCGAAAAATGTACTATAAAACAATCATTTTGACTGATTACATCATGAGGAACAAACAAAATAATTCACTAACTATCCAAGTTTTATAGTTTGATTTGCTTTAGTGATTTATAGAAATTGATTAGATACTAACTATAAACAAGATTTTATCAGCAACTGTCAGTATTTGAATAGTTTTTCATAGTTCAATTATACATCACAGGTAACTGTTTCAGTCCTAGTTGTAAACTTTTTAGTTAAACTCCATTTATTCGTGTAAAGTTGTTAGCGAAACATTTTTGCAATGTCCCATGATTTTCTATAATTCTCTAGTTGATATTAGTCTTTTCATATTCGACTAATTTCCACAGTAACTTGATGAAATTGGTTGCTCACTTAGATTAGCCTTTTTCTTTCATAGCATAGGAACTTTTTTCTGACAGCTTAGTAGTTAAGTAAACTAAACAAGCATCCATAATAGTAAAACATTGGTTTTAGGCTGATATTTAAACAAAATTAGGGAAGAAATGGGTGATCGATAAACGTATGTTGAAAAACTGACCGATATTATATCTTTCTGTACTTGTTGCACACAATCTATTTTGTCATTCTTTAAGGTAATGAGCAATTTTTAACTCAACTCAGAAAGAAATATTACTTACCCATAACACCAGAAAATTGTTCCACGTATCCCAATACCTCAGTATTTAATATGATGTCTGTCCACTGTCCCTGAAGTATTTACAAGAGAGTTTGATATTTCCCGATGAAGTACTCCTCTACTCACTCAAAGATTACCAACTACTCAATTTTGACTCAGTTCGGACAGTATTTCTACATTATAAATAGTAGTGAAATCTATACTATACCTCAGACTCTGACACCTAAATTACCTTGAGGCGTCTACATCAATAAGCGCACAAATAAGTTGTTCTAAGAATGTATCATTAAGAATGCAAAGAATCTTGTTCATCTACAACGACTTCACATGGCATATAAAATTGTCGAGGTTCAAAATCGGTTTTCTCTGTCAATCCTTTAATTGTTCTATACACGATTCTACTTACTCTCCATGTTTTATTGCGTACTCACCAGTAAGACGATGAAATGTTTCAATGGAACATCGACGGTATGTACCTTTGTGACTTGTAACTATGTTTGTCACCAACATCGTACTTCACTTCAGAGTTTACTTTGAACAGACAAAAAACAAACCTGGTTTATTAATGTTCCCAATACAATTTAGATCAAAAGAAGCATGAATCTGACGTGCCTTTTTATTCATACGAACTCATTCCTACTTCATAATGTTGTAATGTGGTGTCGGGTCGCGATAGACTATGAACACCACTACAAAGGAACGCATGCCAGGATATCCATAAAACCCCCGGAAGCCAAATATCAGAAGGCATTTAATGGACCAAGTCGAGATATATTTGCTGGCGATCTCGTGGTATCGAAAGAATACCGAGATCGTGAGCTTATCCGGGACCCTGTGGCATCTTCGTCTGGTCTTGCTGGCGTTGGTGTCGCACTAAGCGCTAGAGCTGAGGCAGCACTAGTCGATTGGATCCCCATTAACAGTCGGTTATGTGCTGTTAGATTAGAAAGTTCCATCAAAGTGAGAAGAAATCGGCGTGAGAAACGATGTCTTTTCGTCATCTCCGCCTATGCCCCGACAGATTGCAGCCCGGATGCAATCAAGGATGAGTTTTACCACCAGTTATCTGTTCTTCTCCAGAAAGTGCGTTCGACAGATATTGTAGTACTAGCCGGAGACTTGAATGCTCAGGTCGGGCGTCTAGGCACAGAAGAGAGTCGTTTAGGTGGCCGATGGGGACTCGTTGGTCGCAGGTCAGATAACGGGGACCGTCTACTGCAACTTTGCACAGACCACAACCTGTTTCTGGCTAGCACTAACTTTCGGCACAGTCATCGCCGATGTGCCACCTGGCGTCCTCCCTCTGCATCTCAAGCCTGGACTCAGATTGATCACATCGCGATCAGCTACCGCTGGCGTGGTTGTGTACAAGACTGCCGCTCCTTTTGGAGTACCTATCTGGACTCTGACCATGCCTTGGTCTGCGCCAATCTTGCCTTACTTTTCAGTGGACAACGAAGTGACCACCACCAACGGATTGATGTTAGCAAGCTGGTTGCAACTTCTGTTGCAAGTAAGTATCGAACCGAGCTAGCCTCTAGGCTAGCTACCACTCCACCGAAAAGTATAGATGAGCATTGGTTGCAATTGCATGACGCCATGAAAATGGCGGGAACAGTCAGTTGTGGGTTTGCGAAACGTCCCGCTTTTAAGCACTGGGTTTCTTCTGGTTCCTTACAACTCATTGAAGCCCGTCGGTCTACTCCGGGTGACCGTGAGTTTGACCATAAACGAAGGATGTTACGTAAGGAAATTGGGCAAAGCTTGCGTAAGGACCGAGAAGCCTGGTGGTCGGAGCGTGCTAATGAGCTGGAAGCAGCAGCTGCATCTGGTAACTACCGGAAGCTCTTCCAGCTCATCCGAGCCACTGGCAGCAAGAAGTCTGGTGTGAGTGAAACAATCTGCGAGGATGATGGGATGCCAATCACTAACATCCATCGACGTCTTGGACGATGGGCAGAATTTTTCGAAGGGCAGTTCAACTGGCCTGCTGCTCCGGCAACATCGGTCAGACTGTCCTGCCCTCCATGGCCGGTGACGACTGATCCACCAAACGAGGAGGAAGTCCGCAAGGAACTCCAACTCTTGAAGCGTTACAAATCACCTGGCCCAGATGACTTACCTCCGGCTCTTTTTAAAGATGGTGGTGACTTTTTGACTAAGGAATTGACGACGTTGTTTACAAAGGTTTGGGAACTAGAGAGTGTACCAACGTCATGGAATGAGTCGATAGTTGTCCCTATCTTTAAAAAGGGTTCACGTCGTTCCTGTAACAACTATCGGGGGATAAGTCTACTTCCGATTGCGTCCAAGCTATTGGCTTCCGTCATACTTCGTAGGTTGTTCAAAACCCGAGAAAGATTGACTCGCGAGGAGCAGGCTGGGTTTCGTTCTGGTCGAGGATGTATTGATCATATCTTCACCCTCCGCCAAATGTTAGAACACCGCCATACTTATCAAAGGCCAACAATCGTAGTGTTTCTTGACATCAGGGCTGCCTTCGATTCGTTGGACAGGACTGTTCTCTGGGATTGTCTATTGAAGAAGGGTGTGCCTGAGAAGTTTATTAACATCCTAAAAGCCCTATATAAAAACACCTCAGGCAGAGTGAGGGCATACAACCACCTCTCTCCATTGTTCCATTCGAGCAGTGGGGTTAGGCAGGGTTGCCCAATCTCACCATTCCTCTTCAACTTTGCCATCGATGACATTCTGGAAACAGCTCTGATGAATGTAAGTAATGGTGGTGTGGATCTGTTGCCTGGAGAAAGACTTCTCGACCTTGAGTATGCGGACGATATTGTCTTACTGTGCGATAATGCCCAAGGCATGCAATCCGCACTTAATCAGTTGGCAATCAGTGTCCGTAGGTATGGTATGTGCTTTGCACCTTCGAAGTGCAAAGTACTTCTACAAGACTGGCAGGATTCTAATCCTGTACTCACCCTGGATGGTGAGCAGATAGACGTAGTCGAGAAGTTCGTGTATCTGGGTAGCTGCATAAGTGCTGGTGGGGTGTGAGTGATGAGATCAATGCACGAATAGTGAAAGCCAGAGCGGCTTATGCCAATCTGGGCCACCTTTGGCGCCTTCGTGATGTTAGTCTGGCTGTAAAAGGTCGGATCTACAACGCGTCGGTGAGAGCAGTTTTGCTCTATGCTTGTGAAACCTGGCCTCTCCGAGTTGAGGACGTTAGACGACTCTCTGTGTTCGATCATCGCTGTCTCCGAAGGATTGCTGACATTCAGTGGCAACACCATGTCAGTAATGCAGAGGTTCGGCATCGTGTGTTCGGGCACAGAGATGATAATTCAATTGGTGTCACCATCTTGAAACACCGACTTCGGTGGCTTGGACATGTTCTCCGAATGTCGTCCCAGAGAATTCCACGTCGTGCATTATTTGCCGACTCTGGGACTGGTTGGAAGAAGCGGAGAGGTGGTCAGTGCATGACATGGTGTCGTGGCATGAAAGAAAGCTGCAAAGGACTGGCTTGTGTTGGTCCTTCACGACTCCCTGGTTGGGGTCTGAGAGATGGTGCTACACAGTGGCTAGAGACGTTATCAGATATGGCTCAGAATAGAAGCCAGTGGCGATCCTGCTGTAACCTTCTTTTACTTTCTTCATAAAAAGTGGTTGTGTCTCCTTACCTGAAAGATTTCTTCTGATTGTACCTTTCGTTCCCTCGTTACTACCACACTACCTTACACCAATCTCTTCGTTATTGTTCTCTTTTTCTTTTGCGCTCCTTAGTTTTTTTTCTACTTCTCTTCGAATTCTCATTGTTTTGTGTGGCGCATATATATTGGCGCTCTCTTGTACCAATATTCATGTGTTCAAATAAATAAATAAATAGGTACAAGCTGGGTTACAGAACGTAACCGAATTCGCTCGAGGTCACAATCAAAGTGTAAGAATAATGGATGCTTTTTAACACAGTTAAACAAAAGCACATTAAAACAGTCACTGGTACAATTGGTTATAAACCAGTCGTGTTCTCGTGATAAAAGTGAGTCACTACAATGTCACAACAGATTATGTCTTAGTAAATTCAAAGAATTTATTTAACTCTTATGTTGGCTCACCAGTTTAGTGACCCGAGATCTGACTCCGATTTGGACGAGCGTGTGAATACTCCAAGAATATAGATCTTCCATTTAATTATGTAACACTTAGGTTAACCTGTGGGTGTGGAGATAATAAAAAACCAAATGCAGATTAAGCTGGATTGGTTTATTTCATACAATAGTTTATTCAGACTATTCAGAAATTAATAATAAGAAGCGGGAGAGCTAAGCGAGACGGATAATACAACTGTACCAACTCCTTTTGATAATGTGTGAATCAATATTTACAGCCAGACAAAAACGAGCTAAAGACTTGTAATAAATGGAGTAAGCGATGCACACACACACATACTCATGTAAAAACCAGTCAAGGTCAATAAGCGATCAATTGACAAGGTCAAATGTGGCTCAAGTAGAGTAAAAATTAATCGATCTGTCTGAAATCCAGAGTAACCGATGTGGGGTGAAACTACACTCTACATGTTTTTTCTAAAAACCTGAATGTTAAAGGATTGGTGTTTGGCATTTCTTTTCAATTTTCACACTAAGATATTGATGTTATCTTTGTTCTTATAGACCTCATAGTACAGTATAGTCTAATCATAAGTGTAAGTCCAAAGCCTATTGCATAGACGCATACACTTGGTTTCTGTGTTTGTAGGTTCTCATCAATCATTTGATTGAAGAATCACATGCACTTTGATCAAAACTTCAGATAAAAATTCAGAAAAAATCAACTTGTTTCGAGCTTGGAACCCTGAAGTGATCACTTCAGTATTCTTATATTTTACTCATTATACATTGCACTGATGCATTTATTTATCTAAGTATTTTGTTCTTATATTTGGTTGTTTTTCTTCTCAGCTTTCATTATCTACAGTTTATTCGTTATATTAATGTCCATCGTATTGATTTTTATTTTGGGTCCACGTTATGGTAAAACAAACCCAATTATCTTCACATTGGTCAGTGGAAGTATTGGCTCATTGTCAGTTGTTGCTTGTAAAGGTATTGGTGTAGGATTAAAAGTGAGTAGAAAATGAGCTTTGAGATGGTGGAGAAGATTTGTAGTTCAGGTGGATGGTTTTAATAGAGTTTTGTTCTCTGAGCTGAATGGTTGGTTGTGAAGCTTTCATCGCTCTTCTGGACGACATCATCAGCACAAACTTCAGGTAGAGGTGAAGTGTTCGAATTTCTCCGTAACATCGAGGTCTACAGGACAATCTGTGAGCCATATGCGAAGAAATTCGAACACCACTTCTACCTGAAGTTTGTGCTGATGATGTCGTTCAGAAGAACGATCAAAGCTCCACGACCAAAACACCCAGCTCAGAGAACAAAACTCCATCAAAAAAGCTTCATATTTTCCTAAACGACTTTTTTGATTTATCCTCTATATTCCTTTTAATTACACATTTCAAAATCGTTGATTATACTTATATTACTTGCAAATAGTGATTAAACTGTAATCCAGTAGCTCACTTTTGCTCTGCTTATCTTGGTGTTGAATTAAGGACGAGTTAGGTAGAAAACTTGAGTATTTTTACCCATAGATGTATACTCATCAGATCAAAATACGTTTACAATCTGTAAATAAATTAAAATGATTGAATGTAACTTATTTGCAAGGTACAGATTTGTCTGTTCATTTCTAAGTCTCAAACTCCAATTATCAGGCCTAATTGTGCTACCCAGTTACGAAAACCTAACCATCACTCGATAGGTGATGTTATCTGGTATAGGAGAAAGTTGGAAGGAATCTAGGAGTGGTCAAATGAAAACATGATATTAGCCCGCGAAGTCACCGACTGTTGAACTGATCTATGTTAGTAGATGCCGACTACCTGGTTGGGTTTCATTTAATGACCGCTATCAGCGATTGATTAGCTTCATGTCATCATGCTAACAGGGCATAGCATTTTGGGCCAACGCACATTTGTGGTATGCCCTACGTTGATTATGACTAACTGTAAATGAAGCAAATGGGACAGAATTCGAATCCTCTACTTACTGATTGAAAGGTGAACAAATTGAAAATTAAGCCACCGTTCAATTGTAGAATTAGCATGCTCATAATATATAACATCCAAACTTGATGAGAAAGTGTCCTCGGCATTAATTCTATTTTAATAGTTGATATCATGAGCCTTTGGATGCCGGCTCAGTGGTCTAGTGGTTAAGCGCTCGCGCGCCAGACTGATAGGTCCCGGATTCGAATCTCGCGAGGCGGAATCGTGGATGCTCACCACTGAGAAGTCCCACAATAGGACGAAACGGCTGTCCAGTGCTTTCAGGTTTTCCATGGTGATCTAGTTTCAATTGACTCATGATCTCAAATATTAAAATTTCTATAGTATCCACAAAACCCCTTCTGATATTAATTCTATTCAAATCGACTATTTTATGATCTAACGGAATTATCAAAAATATTGTTGTATTTTTTAAATCACATTTAATAATAAGTATATGTCATTTACTTAGCTTCTTCGTATTTTTCCCACCAAAATCACTTTTTACACAAAAAAAATTTTAGAATGCATTCACCATTGGCTTTTCATCAATGTTCTCATCATGGTTTTTTTGGTTCCTGATGATCTGGCTTATTGGTGCAATCACAATACAAATGTATTATTTAAATCGAGCATTAGATTTATTCAGTACTGGCATAATTACACCGTTACTATATGTGTTCTTCACTGGCTTTGTAATTATTGCATCAACAGTGTTATTTCATGAATTGAATGCATTGAATTATATGGATTATGTTGGTTTAATATTCGGTTTGATATTCACAGTGTTAGGTATTGTTATGATTACTGTGCTAAAGGTGAGTGTCAGCATGTTAGTTTGTTTAATTGGTGTACAACTTTGTACTAAGGATCAAACAATTTACTAATGAAGAAAAAATTAAAAAAAGATCTGATTTTTAAAACGAAAACCTGAAAAGTTTTTCACACCACTTCTCTCTCTCTCTCTGTTAGACGGAACTGAATTATGTGCTATCGATACTTGTGCAGTTTTGAGCCCTAATTCTATGATATTAGAGACATTATAATTGTTTTATTTGTGGTTCAGTGTAACAAATTGATCTAGTTCGTTTAGTACATTGAGAGTGTTGTTCATTTTTTCAAGGTTTTAGATGTAAATAGTCGGTTCAATAATCAGAAATCTCGTCTATGAGAAGTATCTATTTATAAATTATGAATATTGGATCAGTAGTCATATGCAGGTTCATATACTGAAAAAGTTAAGTGTGTTAGCAATAATGATATTACCACTTCTCTTAGTTGCCTAAACATAAGCTGGTCCTGTGCTGAAATTAATTATTTAAACTACTGATCCTAACTAGTTCAATGATACGGTCTTTGATTATGAAGATATGCCTTGATAGAAAAGATCAACTATGAAGCGACATAAGTCTAAAATTCCTGAAAATGAACTCTGGAAATCAATGCTTGGGTATTGGTTTCCTTTTATTGAGAATGTGTTGACTTTTTGGTATGTGCTTTTAATTAGGGTTGACTCAGGTCAATACTAAGTTCTCTGTAGCTCTTCTAGTGTTACTGCAGGTCCCAAGCCTGGGTAAAGAATGAGGGTTAGGAGTGGGGTCAGCAACCCCATCCCGTAGAAAACAACTTGCTGAAAAAAATGTAAACAAATTAAACATATGCTCCAGATCAAAATTATGACTAATTAAATTGATCATAGCGAAATTCAGTATTATGACCTTTTTTGCATTATTATTGTGATTTGTTCAATTTAGGCAATACCATATAGTTGAAGCCTATTTGGATTTGTTATTCCATCTCATAAAATACCATATATATTTTGGTGTCTTCTTATCTTATTGGTTTTGACTGAGACATGAGAGTTGTCTTTAAAGTTTCATCTCGTTACTTCTTGTTTGCCCATTATTGTCATCGCTGAAGTATCGCTGTTTACTATTTGTCAGTCAGTTTAGTCACTATGTACCTGTTGTATATTAGAAGTATCTGTCACCATCTATACTTTGAACTCCGAAATAACTACAAATCATACCAGCTTAACTCTCTAGTCCTACAACTTAATAAAGTATGATTTTTTTTGCATAAAGAAACCATGATATAAGTAATCAGTAAAATCTAATTAAATTGATGACGTATAGCACTACTTGATTATGAGTTTAATAAAACGCAACTCAGGTTTTCTTTTAATTTCATCTCCATCTTTTTGATATGATCTACATATTCGGGCAACTGCAGACGAACATCATGTAGTTTAGAACGGTATTAGTTATCATTCGTCAGCAAAATGTGTCTACAATTTCATGAGAATTTGAACTTGATTTCTATGTGATTTACACTTGTTTAATCGAAAGTTGTTCGGTAAGAATCACTCTTTTAATGGTTGATTAGTGTAGTACCTTTTTTGTCCATGGTTAAAGGTAAAAAGTTAGTTTTTTGTTATGTTTAATTTAATAGGAAGTTATACAGTGAAGAGTAAGATTTCTATTCGACGTTATTAGTTTAGACAATACAATTGGTTTGTTAAAATATATACTTATGATAAGTGTTCGTGAGGATCGTTTAATGTGAATTTAGTTTTTGTTGTCTTTATATAATAACGATCATCTGTTCAGTACTGACCAACTTTGAAAGATAATCTTGATGTCCTCATTGAAAATCGTAATCAATAGAGAGCTAAACCAGGTTGAAAAGGAGACGGTAGCTTACCAAGGATACTGCATGATGGTCGTTTTATATTGTGTACTACTTAAGGTATAGAATGTAGGTCTTTGAATCCTGACTGGCTGATCTGAAAGGACCGTGTTTGTCGTGTTACCTGAATACCCGATTCTTGTGATGATCGTCAATATGCACTGTTGAGCTAAATACTACTAATGTTTAGTGTGTCTTGGTTTTCAGTGATTGAATGGTTGACATAAATCTTTGAGAAGATTCAATGAAACCTAGCCTGACCTCTATAAATCTGTTAACCAAGTACTTACTTACTTACGCCTGTTACTCCCAATGGAGCATAGGCCGCTGACCAGCATTCTCCAACCCACTCTGTCCTGGGCCTTCTTTTCTAGTTCCCTCCAATTCTTGTTCATTTTTCTCATGTCTATTTCCATTTCTCGGCGTAATGTGTTCTTTGGTCTTCCTCTTTTCCTTTGGCCTTCAGGATTCCATGTGAGGGCTTGTCTTGTGACGCAGTTGGGTGCTTTCCTCAATGTGTGTCCTATCCACTTCCAGCGCTTCTTCCTGATTTCTTCCTCCGCTGGGATCTGGTTTGTTCTCTCCCACAGTACGTTGTTGCTAATAGTGTCCGGCCAACGGATCTGAAGTATTTTGCGTAGACAACTGTTAATAAACACCTGTATTTTCTGGATGATGGCTTTCGTAGTTCTCCAGGTTTCTGCCCCATACAGTAGAACTGTCTTGACATTTGTATTGAAAATCCTGACCTTGGTGTTGGTTGACAGTTGCTTTGAGTTCCAGATGTTCCTCAGTTGTAAATATGCTGCTCTTGCTTTGCCGATCCGCGCCTTCACATCTGCATCAGATCCACCCTGTTCATCAATGATGCTGCCCAAATACGTAAAGGTTTTTACATCTTCCAAATCTTCTCCGTCAATTGTGATTGGATTGGTGCATTCTGTGTTGTATCGGAGAATCCTGCTTTTCCCTTTGTGTATATTGAGACCTATTGCTGCTGAGGCTGCTGCCACACTGTTCGTCTTCTCCTGCATCTGTTGTTGCGTTTGGGATAGAAGGGCCAGATCGTCTGCGAAGTCTAGATCATCCAACTGCATCCTAGATGTCCATTGTATCTCGCGCTTCCCTTCAGACGTTGACGTCTTCATGATCCAGTCGATCACCAGGAGAAAGAGAAAGGGTGAGAGTAAGCAACCTTGCCTGACACCGGTCTTCACTTCGAACGACTTTGTCAACTGTCCTCCATGCACAATTTTGCAGTTTAATCCATCATAGGAATTCCGTATGATATTGACTATCTTCTGAGGCACGCCGTAGTGTCGAAGAAGTTTCCATAGTGTTGTTCTGTCCACGCTATCAAATGCCTTTTCGTAGTCAATGAAGTTGATGTAGAGTGATGAATTCCATTCAATTGATTGTTCCACAATGATCCGTAGAGTTGCGATTTGGTCTGTACACGATCTATCCTTACGGAATCCTGCCTGTTGGTCACGAAGTTGGGCGTCTACGCAGTCCTTCATCCTGTTTAACAATACCCTGTTGAAGACTTTTCCCGGTATTGAGAGAAGAGTGATGCCCCTGTAGTTATCACACTTGCTGAGATCGCCTTTCTTCGGTATTTTGATCAGAAGTCCTTCTTTCCAGTCTTTTGGTACTTGTTCCTCATCCCAAATCTTATTGAAGAGAATGTGGAGTATCCTTGCAGTTGCCGCTACGTCTGCTTTTAGTGCCTCTGCTGGGATGTTGTCCGGTCCTGCTGCTTTGCCACTCTTGATTTGTCTGATGGCCATGCTGATTTCTTCAATTGTTGGTGGGCCAACATTGATTGGGAGGTCCGTGGGTGCTGCTTCGATGTTGTGTGGGTTCAGTGGGGCTGGTCGATTCAAGAGTTCTTTGAAGTGTTCTACCCACCTGTTTTGTTGCTCTTCAATGTTGGTGATTACCTTGCCTTCCTTGCTTTTCACTGGTCGTTCTGGTTTGCGGCGATTTCCAGAGAGTTTCTTTGTCGTGTCATACAATTGTCTCATGTTTCCTTCTCTTGCAGCCTTTTCCGCCGTCGTTGCTAAATCTTCCACATATTTACGTTTTTCGGTTCTGATGCTCCTCTTCACTTGTTTGTTTATTTCCGTGTATTCAGCTTGTGCCTTGGCTTTTTCTGCTCTTGTTCGGCTGGTATTGATCGCTGCCTTCTTGTTCCTTCTTTCTTGAATCTTATCCAGTGTATCAACAGTGATCCATTCCTTGTGGTGGTGCTTCTTGTGACCCAGGACCTCATGACATGTTGAAGTGATTGCCTCTTTGATCCCCTTCCAGTTGCTCTCCACAGTAGTTCCTTCTCCATTGAGTAGATCATGAAAGGCCTGGAACTTGTTGCTGAGGACTATCTTGAATTTGTTGAGTTTGTTAGTATCCTGGAGAAAGGCCGTATTGAACTTTTGTGATACTGTCCGCCCCGTTGTCCAGTGCTTCTTGAGTTTCAATTTCATCTTAGCGACCAGTAAGTGATGATCTGATGCTATATCAGCTCCTGTTATGACCTTGAATCGCTTTTACCCCGTGATACTTGTTATGACTTGGCCTTGGTCTGTCTAGTCTAAACTATGACCCTGACGCGTTAGGCTGAGTAGCTTAACCTTGAGTCTAATACGCGTGAGTTCGATTGGGGTAGAGAGAACTATTCTAAATCCTGATTGGTTGGCAAGCACGCGGGTGAAAGAAGACAAGACAGTTGGAACACTAAACTCCGGATTCTCTGAATTCGAATTAGTACAAAAATGTACATGAATAACTAAGTGAATATCTTGACCACGACGTACGATAATTTGGAAAAATACAGTTATGCCCGAAACAGGGAATTAGGGTAGAAAATATAGTGCAAAATATAATGTTTAAATTACAATATTTTTGGAACAAAAAAGGGTATGCTAGTGAATGATACATAGAACGAAAGCTCGTGTTATGTAGAATAAGATAGGGACAAAAATAAATATAAGTGTTTTACAGGTTTTGAATGAAATGCAATAACGTCCCAAGAAAATAGCTTTCGTAATTGTCTGGGCTTCTTAATTCCCCGTTCATAACACCTTCTGTTAGCGGGACATAGACTAGATTAAAGCATGCTCAATGCATG